TTTTACTGTCCGTTTCGTGGTTGTGCATTGGCAGAAATCCACGCAAACATCCGCTGCATCACGTCTGCAAGGTTGGTGCAGTGATCAATCAGTCGGTCGCATTCCTCTTGTGTTCGAAGAACAGTGCGTGGTAGGTAGGCCTGTATGAATACCGGGACGGTCGTTCCCTGCTCCAATGGAGGGAGGGCAGGGATCCGGGCCCACCACACGGCGTCCGAGCGGCTCGATGCGGAGCCCGATTTCATCCACTCCGGCGGCGCCGATGCGTCGCCGACGTCGCCGATGCGGCGTGATCCTCCATTTCATCTGCTCGGATCCCATGTTGGGGAGGGACGGGGAAGCAGCGCAGGGGCAGGGGGTTCCAGACCCCTCGCGTCGTGGCAAAAATCAGAGAGCGTGATCCACCGGGTCCCCCCCCCCTTTCCGAAAATCCCCCCCCCCCTCTGCTCGAACCCCTCCCCCTTCCCTGGCACCCCCCCCCCCCTCCCTCCCCACCCCCCCCTCTCCGGAAAACCGGGTGGGGGTCACTACTGGTTCGAACCCCTCCCCCCCCTCTCCGGGAAACCGGGGGGGGGGGGGTCACACTAAAGGTTCGAACCCACCCACCCCCCTGCAGAAAACCGGGGGGGTGTCACTGCTGGTTCGAACCCCCTCCCCCCCACTCGACGCCAGCAAACAACTTCTGGGTCTCCACCCCCGTTCTCACCACCGCCCTCATCACTGTCCCCACCACCACCGTTCCCACCACTGTCCCACTGCCCCCACTGTCCCCACCACTGTCCCACTGTCCCCACTGTTCCCACCACTGCCCCCACTGTCCCCGCCAGTCCCCCCATTACTCCCCACTGTCCCCACTATCCCCACCACTGTCCCCACCACGGTCCCACTCCCCACTGTCCCTACTGTCCCCACCACTGTCCCACTGCCCCCACTGTCCCCGCCGCTGTCCCACTGTAGGCTGAGGATGATTTGATGCTGCTGATGATGATGCTGGCCATTTGTGTTATGATTGTTCGCATTTTGATTCCTACTATCAGTATTATGATAAGGCTGATGCGGCTGATGATGATTATTCTGCTGATGATGCTGCTGCTGAGGATGCTGATGATGATGGTGATGTTGCTGCTGTTGCTGGTGATGCTGCTGCTGCTGATGATGCTGATACGGATGATGATGTTGATGCTGATGCTGCTGGTCGTGATGCTGCTAATGACGATGATGATGCCGATGCTGATGAGTATGATGCTGCTGATGATACTGATGATGATGATGTTGCTGCTGATGATGATGCTGACAATGATGATGATGCTGATGACAATGCTGATGATGGTGATGATGCTGCTGATGATGCTGCTGATGATGATGCTGATGATGATGACGATGATAATGACGATGATGATGATGCTGATGCTGATGCTGATGCTGATGATGATGATGATGATGATGGTGGTGGTGGTGGTGGTGGTGGTGGTGGTGGTGATGGTGATGATGATGATGATGATGATGATGATGGTGGTGGTGGTGGTGGTGGTGGTGGTGGTGGTGATGATGATGATGATGATGATGATGATGATGACGATGCTGATGATGATGATGATGATGATGATGATGATGATGATGATGAGGATGAGGATGAGGATGAGGATGAGGATGATGATGATGATGATGATGATGATGATGATGATGATGATGATGATGATGATGACTGCTGCTGCTGCTGCTGCTGCTGATGATGATGATGATGATGATGATGATGATGATGATGATGATGATGATGATGATGATGATAATGACGAGGATGAGGAGGATGATAATGAGGAGGAGGCACATGCGGGTGAGCGTTCGAGTATTTGGTGGCGGAGGAGGAGGATGTGGAGGAGGATGATGATGATGATGAGGAGGAGGTGCAGGAGGTGGGAGGAATCAGGGTACCTGTGGGAGGAGGGGGGAGGATGGCAGACGCCTCCTAGGGGGCGAGCCTGCTTTGCCCTGAGTGCTTATCGACTGCAGCATTGCTTCCACAGACACGTGTCTGAATCCTTGGCGCGTCGCGTATCCCCACCAGGCAGTCCAGAACACGATGCCCGGGCGAGTTCAACTGGCCAGGGAAGCGCAGGCCCAAGCCGTGGAACAAGAGCCCGGAACGGGGGGGTAGATCACTCGTCAAGCCGAAGCTTGGGACGAGTCCGAACAGACCCTGGACTCAACCGCACAGCTTCTCCGATCTGCCGATGCAGGTCTCAGGGCCACCGTGGCCACTCCGGAGGCTCTTCCGGGGCTCTCCGCGGGCCCCCTCGGGGGCCCTCTCGGGGCCCTCCTGGGAGCCCTGGGGGGCTCCCTTGGGACCGCCTGGGAGAGCGTCCGAGCAACGAGGAGAGTGGGGGGGGGGGTCTAACAGCGCCGCCCCTCTGGGGCCCTAGAAACGCCCCTCGGAGCTCTCCTGGGTCGCTCCTGGGGCGCTCTGGGGGCGCTCTTGGGCACTCTGGGGCCCTGCGGGGACCCTCCTGGGCACCTCCTGGGTACCTCTTGGTGCCCTCCTGGGCCATCTTGGTGCCATTTTGAGGCCTGGTAAGTCGGTCGGGCGAAGGAGAGACTGCCAACATCATGTATGCTTCCAGGGTTTTGGGCAGGGTTAGCGTCTCTTGGATGCATTCTTGGGAGTTTCCGTGGCCACCTCTGGCCGTCTTGGAGCAGTCGTGGGTCCTTTTGGAGGCCTGATTGAGGCTCTCGTGACCCGTCTTCGATTACTGTTTCTACCATCTTGGAGATTATCCTGCGCTCTCTGCGGCCATCTTGGAGCCATCAGCTTGGATGCCCCTTCCCCGAGAGGCCCACATCCCAAGCATGGTTGTTATGTCCAACGCTGGGGTAACTTCAGGAAATTTGGTCTTCAGTTAGCCTCTCCCCTCTGGAGTCCGACAAGTCGTGTCTTTGGGCTCCCTGGGGCCACCTTGGAGTCATCTTGATGCATCAGAAGCCCATCGGACGCGAACAGGCGAGACGGCCTCTTATGCTTTGGAAGTTGCCCCTCCAGGGTATTCTTGGGAGGCTCCGTGGCTACTCGGGGCCGCCTTGATGCTGTCCCGGGGCCTCTTGAAGGCATCTTTGAGGCCATTTGGAGCCATCTTGCGATATGTTGGGCCATCTTAGATGCTACCGTGGACTGTCTTGGGCCATCTTGGAGCCATCTTGGGCCATCTTGGGCGCTTGAAGCCCTCATGCCCCTCCCGTCCATATCCAGGGGTATGGGGTATGAGGAAGGGTCGTCTGGCACACTCCCGACTGCCCTCCCAATACATAAGTAGCACCCTCGTATCCCTGTCAGACATCAATACAAAGTGGTCGCTGGGCGCCCGCGCATGCTTCAGATTCGGAGGAAGTGGGTATTTTGTAGGGTGTTTTTTGAAAGGGCTGGCTGGCCTGCGTGCAGCAAACAAGACGAGGACACCCCCCACCGTCCTTGCCAAAACCGAATGCGAGGTGGTCGCGGGGCGCCCGCACGAGCTCCAGATAGGCACCGTGTATGTTGCATTTTATTGTTTGAGAGGGGTGGTTGGCCTGCGCGCAGCAAACACTACGAGCCCCTCCGTCTCCTCTGTCTCCTCCGTCTCCTCCTCCTCCTCCTCCTCCTCCTCCTCCTCTTCATGCTCCTCCTGCTCCTCCTCCTGCTCCTCCTCCTCCTCCTCCTCCTCCTCCTTCTCTTCCTCCTCCTCCTCGTTCTCCTCTTCCCGCTCCTTCCTCTTCTCCTCCTCCTCCCCCTCCTCCTCCCCCTCCTCCTCCTCCTCCTCCTCTCTCCTCCTCCTCCTCCTCATCCTCCTTCTCGTTCCCCCCCGCCGTCCCTTCCGCACAAGCCGATGCCAAGTCCTCGGCCGGGGGGGCGCCCGCGCGTGCCTCCAGACTTCGGGGGCAGCACGTCTTTCCGCACGTGTCCGGCACGCCTGGGATGGTTGGCCTGCGCGCCGCGGGCAGCGTGAGCCCCCCCCCTTCTCTCCTCCCCCCCCTCCCCCCCTCCTCCTCCTCCTCTCCTCCCCCCCCCCTCCTCTTCCCTCCTCCTCCCTACTCCTCCCTCCTCCTCCTTCCCTCTCCTCCTCCCTCCTCCTCCCCCCCCTCCCCCCCTCCCTCCTCCCCCTCCTCCCCCTCCCCCCCCGCCGTCCCCGTCTCGGAGGTGGATCGGCCTCCTACCCTGACACGTCGATTCGGGAATCGGCCGTGTTCGCTTCGCGAGGGGGCGTCGCGGCCGTCATTTTTTGCGGGTCCAGGTCCGTCGGTTTCGGTCCCAGGCCGTTTTCAACAAGGGGAGGCTTACTAGAGGGAGGTTTGTCCCCCGCCGTCCCTGTCGTGAGCCGATGCAGAGTTGTCGCGAGGCGTCTGCGCGCTCCATATTCGGAGGCAGCGTGTACTCTGTATGGCCTCGTGGCAGGGATGGCGGGGGGACGCTGGCATGGGGACGGGCTGGCTGCCCGTAGCCTTGTTGAGTGTTTTTTAGGGAGCAGTGACAGACCCACTCCCCGAAGGGGCATGCAAGGGGGTCTGATGCGGAAGCGCCGTACACCGCCTCCGAGCTCGACAGGGGTGGTGGGATTAGGCGTGACCATGATTTTGTCATGCTCATGTTAAGAGCCGCACGCTCTTGTAGCAAGCCCAGGAGGAGACGGAGGACACAGACGATGACGAGTGCGAGCTGGACACGGATGACGACGAAGCGAGCACCACCGTCAGCAAGTCCCCGACCACAGGTTCGCTTTGTTTCATGCGCATTTGTTTCAGATGTGATGGGCGGTTGTGATGGATTCATTGACCATAATGATCACCTGAACCTACCGTCGAAGCAGAATTTGAAGGATCGGTCATCAGCTTGGGGCGACGGAGGCTAGTATATTGATGCAACGCATGGTGTTCAGCCAGCTCCCCGTGCCACGGCTTTGGTTCTCGTCTTTCCATCTCATTCGTGGTTGCTGGGCATCTGGCTTGAAGGATTCTCTCGGCGTCACCCCAACATATTCATACTCTATGTGCGTCGCCCCCCAGGGGCGACGCGCGCACCTAGAACTCTTATAGTGTATGCGTCGTGGCGGGCGCTTTCTTGCCACACCGCTCGGAAAACGATGTACTACAATATGGGTATACTATATGTTCGGGTCGGACGCGCGCCTCCAAGGAGGACGTATAGTAATAGTATGTCCTTGTGCCTCCCATTCTCTTCTGTCTAGCCAGCCTGCTGCGCGTGTATGGACTGGCACCACCGAGACTTCCGCGCCTCGGCACTGCTGCCGGAGGCACTCTTGCCGTGGCGCTCGATAGCCGGCTGGTTGTTGATCCTGACTGTTTCGGGAGCCTTGAGACGGGGGTCAATGCAGACGGGGGTCAGCCAGAGCGCCCGATCTTGCAGGATCCTGCAGGGCCAGGGTCGCATTGACCCGGGTCTGGGTGCAGGATCCTGAAGAATCTTGCAAGATCCTTCGCGTTGACCCGGGTTTGGGTGCAGGATCCTGCAGGATCCTGCAGGATCTTGCAAGGCCTGACTGACTTGGGTCTGGATTGACCTGGGTCAGAAGATCCCCGAACTGTTGAGCTGCAGCAGTTCCAGACTCCTCCTCCTCTGCTCCTGCCCCGGCTGATGTATTCGACTGCATCACTACCCTTACAAGTGTAGCTTGCCACCTTGACTTTGCGGTGGGACGAGGAGGGAGAAGCATGGGGAGATCAATCAGTCCGCGCCCCCGCGCGCCCAGCTGGCACGAGTTCGGCCAGGGGCTCAGCAGTGTCCGATCGTGCAGCCCTTCCTTGCGTTAGATCGGGCCTGTCCCTCTACAGGAGGAATGCTCACACATAGTTACAAAGATAGTCAGGGGACGTCTTTTGGAGCATCTCATTTTTCGCCCAAGATCCGCCTGTAGGGAGACACGCCCAACCTACTCCTTGCGTTGCTCCTCCCCCGCCCCTCTCGAGCCCCCCTTCCCGCGACCCCTGCGCCGTTCCTCCACGGGGTCGCCCCACCCCCCCGCACACCTCTCCTCTCGGCGGGCGGCGGTCCCTGTATTGTTATTCTCTGGGAGGACTTGGACCCAACTTCCCACTTCATGTTTCCGCCTTCCTACTTCATGTTTCTGCTTCACGTTTCTACTATATCCGCCTTCTACTATTTCATGCTGCTTCTTCAGGGTTATCCCACTATATCCGCCTTCCTGCTTCATGTTTCTACCTACTTCTTCCGACCGACGTGTATCCTTCGCCCCCCTCCGAGCCATCTTCGCTCATGCGCGCCCCGCTGCGCCTGGTCGCCGGGGGGGGGGAGCTCGGGCACGAGGGCACGGGCAGGGGTCGCTGGACGGCGGCGATCTCGGCGCGGTGCGAGGGTCGTGAGTGCCCGCGGGGCAGCGTGCGCGGGGCACGGCGGGCAGCTGGAGCATGGGCGCACGTTCTAAATGTGGGCGAGAAACATACGCGTCGTTCACGTCTGATCGTGCTCATTTCTAATTTTGCTCGTTTCTAACAGTTCCTGGCTCCCTAGTGGCCAGGAAGAGGCCCAGGACAGAAGAATTAGACATGAGAGGATCTTGACCCCCCCCAAAATCAAGGAACTCTGGAATAATAAGACATGAACAATGTGTATCCGTACCGCGGCCTCGCGGGCCAGCCCCCTGGTCCGAGACCTCGCGGCTGCCCCGCGGGACCGCGCATCCGCGGGATTGCGCCCCGGAATCCGGACCCCTCGCGAGCATTGGCTCAAGGGCAACGATAGGGGGGGACGAGCAAACGGGGGATGCATCGACCCCCGATCGCTCATTAATCGCCGATAGGAGCCCGATAGCCCCATCCCTCCCAGGAACGTTTGGATTCGCTATCGGGGGCCTATCGCCGATCGATTGTCGATGTATCGCCGACTCCAGGTCGATGCTTCCCCCCTATGCCAGGGCCCCCCTATCGTTGCCCCTCAATTGGCGAGGGTGATGCCTACATTCCGAAGCGGCTGTCTTGCGATATCATCTCACCTCGTACCCTGTGAGTGTCTAGGGCAGTCTGGCTGTATGAACATCAGTATTTTGTGGAGGCCAGAGGTGTGTATTGTACGCGTGCCCACCACCGCTGTGGTGGCCCAAGTCTATGAAAAGTGTGAGGAGGGAGAGGCCTACCGTTTCCCCGTGTCCCCATCCAGCGCTCCCCTCGGCCCCGGCGATCTCTCGCGATCGCTAACGATGGCAGCGGAGCGTAATGCAGGAGGGAAAAAACAACACAGACACAATTAATCGTCGATTCCCAGAAAATATGGGAAAATATGGGAAGTGGGGGGAAGACAAAAACCCAGAAAATATGGAAAAGTATGGGGATTTGTTTTTATTTGTGTGTATTTAGTTGTGTGTCCTGGGGCCCCTTCAGTAATGGTTGAGCGGGCCAGCGGGGCGCTGGAGGGCGTGGATGGCGACCAAGAGCCCACCCTTCAGTACAGAAGGAGGAGGCACAAGAAGAACAGCAGCCATCAGCGCCAGGAGAGACGCAGACGTCCCCCGCGACCTCCAGCGAGGTCCAGCAAGGGCAGCGTCGCCAGAGGAAGGCCCGTGGCACCAGCCAGGCGGCGATCCATGGGAGCGATCGCGGACAGGTCTTGTTGGCCGCACAGCCTGGCGAAGTGGCGACTGGTGGACGGGCTGGCAGCGACAGGATAGCAGCTACCATTACTGGGGGACACAGGCCTGGATAGCGACGTGGGCCGCCATCGAGGCGCCGCTGCAGCCCCCGATGCCCCGAGGTTTGCTGGGCAGAGAGGACCCACTTCGGCGGCGGCGACACCCGCGAGAGGCGCAGCAAGAGAGTGAGGATGAATATGAAGCTGTCATGTCGGTCTACCTCGAGCTGTCATGGACGGCGAGGACATCACGGCGTTCTACGAGGCCATCTCGTGCGAGGAGCCGGACGGGGACCAGGCCACGGCGGTGCTCGCGGGAGTCCTGGACGAGAAGCGGCAGCAGGACGGCAAGCCCAGGAAGTGGGCTGAGTCCAAGGAGCTCAAGAGGGCCATCGCTCGCGACTGGGACTTCTTCGACTCCAAGCGTGGCGGAGGTCGGCTGGCACCGGGGCCGGGAGCAGGCCGCCAGAGGCTGAACATCGATCGGCAGAAGGAGAGGACGCGGTGCGCCAACTGCGGTCAGAAGGGTCACCGGCGGAAGGAGATCGTCAACCCGTACAGGCCGAAACAGAAGCGTGACCAGAGCAACCCCAAGCGGGCACTGCTGGCCACTCTTACACCGTCGTAAGACAGGTTCGTTCCACCCTCCTGGTGCACTCTGACTATGATCATGCGATGCTGATGACGATGGTGATGATGATTAAGAGGAGGGGGAGGGAGAGGAGGCGGAGGAGGAGGATGACCAGGAGGACGAGGAGGAGGATCAGGAGGGTTGTCATACAAGTTACCACAGGGATACCTGGCGTGTGGCAGCCACGCGATTGTAGCGACGTTGCTCTTGGTGCCTTCGATGCGGGCTCTTGCGATCATTGAGACGCAGGAGCGCCAGTATGTCTGATTGCTCGCCCGGCAATAGGGAACGTGGTGAGTTGGGCTTACACCGTCGTGAGGGTTCGTTTCACCTTCCTGAGGCGCTCTGATGGTGATGATTTAGGCAGAAGGGGAGGGAGAGGACGCGGAGGAGGAGGAGGAGGAGGAGGAGGAGGAGGATCAGGAGGACGAGGAGGAGGATCAGGAGGGGTGTCAGAAAAATTACCACAGGGCTCGCTGGCTTGTGGTAGCCACGCGCTCGTAGCGACGTTGTTTTTGCATCCTTCGATGCCGGCCGGCTCTTGCTATCACTGAGTCGCAGAAGCCCCAATGTGTCTGATTGTTCGCCCGACCTTAGGGAACGTGAGTTGGTTTTAGGTTGAGACGACGAGGAGGATCATGAGGATGTCGGCTCCTGCCATCACTGGGGCGCAGAAGCCCCAATGTGTCTGATCATTCGCCCAGCAATAGGGATTGCTGACATGGGCTTACACCGTCGTGAGACAGGTTAGTTTCACCATCCGAAGGTACTGATGATGATGATGATGATGATGATGATGATGATGATGATGATGATGATGAGGATGAGGATGAGGATGAGGATGAGGATGAGGATGAGGATGAGGATGAGGATCAGGATGATGAGGATGTTGAGGATGATGAGGATGATGAGGATGAGGATGATGATGATGATGATGATGATGATGATGATGATGGTGATGATGATGATGATGATGATGATGATGATGATGATGCTGATGCTGATGCTGATGATGATGATGATGATGCTGATGATGATGATGATGATGATGATGATGATGATGATGCTGATGATGATGATGATGATGATGATGATGAGGAGGAGGAGGAGGAGGAGGAGGAGGAGGAGGAGGAGGGGGAGGGAGAGGAACACAAATCCGTGTTGTCGCTGTTCTCGGGCTCTGTTCGCTTCCTTTTGGAGGACCTCCTGGAACCGTTTTGACGCCAGTCTTGGAGCCTTGCCTCATTCACCTTTGGGGCTTTCTTCCGGGGCCTGTTCGGGGCCTCTTCGCCCCGACCAGCCGAAGAGGCCCCGTAGAAGTGTCCGAGACAGCCCGAGAGAACCCCAAGACGGCCCAGGAGGCGCCCAAAAGGGCCCCATGAACGCCTCCAGGGGGCTTCAAGACGGCCCACGATATCCCCTGAGACCGTCAACAGGCCCCCACGGGCCCCAAGAGACCCCACATGGCCCCTAAACGGCCCCCCAAAGGCCCCATATGTTTTCAAAACTACGTCCAAGAGACTCTCCTGAGCCTTCCCAAGGGACCCCAGCAGGCATCTAAGAGAGCTCTGACCCACAACCCAGCCACGCTGGGGGGTCGGGCGTACGACAGCCTCGGACGGTCCAAGAAGCTTCCCAGACAAACCCAAGATGGCCCGATTGGCCTCGCCATGATCGGTGTTGGTGGACCCCCGCAAAACCTACTCCTGCTGCTCCTGCTCCTCCCCTTTGTCGACCCCCTTCTGCTGATGCTGTTGCTGCTTCTCATCGAGAAGGGCGATGACGACGAGGGGCAAGGAGTTGGAGAACACGGCGTCCCGCCCTCAATCAATCTCTAATAAACCTTCGGTAAAACGGGGATCACTGGCATCTGCGACAACCGTTTTCCAACCCCTTGGAATCTCAACGAACACGTGTGCATATGCCTAGCAAGAACCTGAGCGCCCGCGAAGCGCGCGCGCGTGATTCTAGTGCATGTGTACATATCTGTCTACATAGCTACCTCTATATATATGTATGTATATCTCGATAGATAGACATATATGTTCATGCATCTATGCATATATAATTGTATATATTTACATTCGCATATATATAGAGAGAGAGAGAGAGAAAGAGAACGATGCATCTATATACGTATATAGATAGATATAGAAAAGTCGATCCACATATATATATATATATATATATATATATATATATATATATATGGATGGATGGATAGACAGATACGTCGACATCGGAGTAGGCCGGGGGGGGGGGCGGGCTGGTGCCTGCACCCTCCATGGGCGCCCCCGGGGGTTTCTTGGGAGGGTCCCAGAGCTCCCCGGCCCTCCCCGAAACGGGCCACGACAGGCTGAGAGGGGGGCCCCAAGAGGGCCCAAGACGTTCCCAAGAGGCCGCGAAGACGCCCAAGGTGCCCCCCTCCTCGAAACGGGCCACGACAGGCTGAGGGGGGCCCCAAGAGGGCCCAAGACGTTCCCAAGAGGCCGCGAAGACGCCCAAGATGCCCTCTCAAGACGGCCGACGGGGACCCCAACGCGCTCCAGGACGGCCTCGAGAGGCTCCCCAAGAGGGCCCTGGGAGGCAACGTTTATACGTTTTCCAAGGGTGGCCCCCAAGGGGCTTTCAGGGAACGCCCAAGCGGACCCCCAACACACCCAAACAAATAATGTCCCCAGAAAGCCTTCCGGGGACATGATTCATCATGGGCCCGAGAGTCTCAACAGGCTTCGAAGTACCATCACGCTACCGGAGAGCTGTCTGGGAAGTTGATTGGGAACATGACTGATCGCCTTCTCTGCCGACGTCTGCCGACGACGAAGACGACGACGGCGGCGGCGGCGTTGAAGACGACGATGAACTTCGAACTTCGATGTTCGAAACGGTTGTTCGTCGCTTTCTGCCTTCGGGGGCCGTTCTCGAGCCCTAGGGTCGTCGGGCTTGGATCTGGAGTGGAAAGCTGCGCTGGATGGATCCTTGGAGGGGCCCATCCGACGGCGACGACAAAGACGACGACAGCGCGACCCAAGAGGCGACGACGACATTACGACGGCGACGATAACGACAACGACACGCCCCAACCGGCTCCCCAAGACGCCCCCCAAACCCATGTTACCAGAAGGCCTCTTTGGGAACCCGATTCACCAGGCCTCCGCCCTCCTGCGCAACGGACCTTCCCCGAAAGCCTTCCGGAATACGGATTGACATGCATGGACCTCTCGCTGCCCATAATCAGAGCCCCGAATCATCATGGGTAACTCGGGTCAGGGATAACTCGGGTTCGTTTTTCGGGAATCCAAACCCGAGTTACCCCGGACCCGAGTTACCCCGGATAACTCGGGCGTCCAGAGCCCCACATCATCAGGGGTAACTCGGGTCAGGGCTAACTCGGGTTCCTTTTCCGGGAATCCAAACCCGAGTTACCCCGGACCCGAGTTACCCCGGATAACTCGGGCGCCCAACATTATGCGTTCAGCGTTCACTTCTCGTTCAAACCATCCGCGGTCCACTACTTCAGTGGAGCAGTGAACACGTTCAGGCCTGGGGCCTGCTACAACCTCAGCGCGCGTGAAGCGCGCGCCGTTCTAGTCTGTCTGTCTGTCTGTCTGTCTGTCTGTCTGCCTGCCTGCCTGCCTGCCTGTCTGTCTGTCTGTCTGTCTGTCTGTCTGTCTGTCTGTCTGTATATAAACAATTTATATACATCTCTATGTATAAAGTGCCTGGCCGTCGGAGTGGTCGGGGGCGCGGCGAGGCCCCGGAGGCAGAGGATGGCGCCGCCGGCTTCGATCGCGGGCGACGATCGGGGGCATGGGCGCACAATCCAAACCCATGCCCAGGGACACCCTGCTTGCCTCCATGGGTGCCCTGGGTTTCTTGGGCTTCGATGCTTTTGCTTTGGAGAGCGCGACGGTCCAACCGCAAACATCAATGGACATCCTGGGGTCTCAGGGTTGGGCTTCTCGTGGAAGGTGTGTGGTGGTCGAGCTCCTACTGTAGGGGGGATGCATCGACCCCCAGTCGCCCCATTTGTCGCCGACAGGGGCCCAAGGGCCCCATCCCGGCCAGGAAGCTGCGGATTCACTGTCGGGGGCCCATCGCCGATCTATCGGCGATGCATCGCCGCTTCCAGATCGATGTTTCCCCCCCTGTGCCAGTCCGCCCTATCTCAGGAGGGAGAAAATCACACAGACACAATGAATCGTCGACTCCCAGGAAGATCTAGGAAAACATTGGCAGTGGGGGGGGAAGGCAAACACCTCAAAAACATGGGAAAGTATGGGGAATCATTTGATTTGCGTGTATTTGTTTGTGTGTCCTGGGGCCCCTTCACTATCGCTGCCCCTCGCCTCTCCGCGCGACGGCGACGGCCGTCGGAGTGGCTGGGCGCGTGGCGAGCCCCCAAGCGGCCGAGAGGAGGGCGCCGCGGGCTCCGAGGCAGGGGCGAGCGCGCGAGGCGGCGCAGAGCGGGGAGCCGCCGGCCGCTGGCGGCGCCGGCTCGGCGAAGCGCCCGGCGGGGCGCCGCGGGCGCGCGAGCGGCCTCCTCGCCGCACGGGTGGCCTCGGCGGCACCAGGGCGCCGAGCGACGGCAGAGCGCGCGCGCGCGTGTCTGTCTGTGTGTGTGTTCGTGCGATGCGACGGCTTGCCTCTCCGGTGGGGTCGGCGCGGCCTTCCCCTCGGCAGCTCGGACGGGCACGCCTTCCGGCACTCCTGGTGCCCGACGCCGAGTGCGCACTCCTCGTGGCGAAGACTCTGTATGCCCGGGTCTTCTCCCGCGTTCCTCGTCCGCGGCCGCGCTTCTCTTCCCCCTTGTCGCCTGTGTGTGCCCTCAGACTGGCGAGGCCCGCCAGTTTCCGAACGCTTTGGCGTCCGCCGTCGCTGCTGACTAAACGTGCTTGTGAGTGTACATGTGGGCCGACGGTCTTCTCCCAGGGAGGAGGGAGTTGGCCCCCTGCCCCCCTCACCGACAGGATCGAGTGAATACTGTTTTCATACACACCTTCGGACAGGTGCCACATGGAGGAGTATGACCTGGATCCCAGGAGGTTGCGGAGGATGGGGGGAGGAGACGCAGAGGGGAGGAGAGAAGAGGAGAGAGGAGAAAGAGAAGGAGAAGGAGTAGGAGAAGGAGAAGGAGAAGGATGATGAGGAGAAGGAGGAGGAGGAGGAGGAGGAGGAGGAGGGGAGGAGGAGAAGGAGGGAAGAGGGAGAGGGCGAGGCAGGAAGGGCAGGCAGGAAGCAGGGATGGCAGGTTGGAGGGGAGGGGGGCGGGAAGGGGAGATGGAAAGGGGGGAGGGAAGGGGGGGCAGGGAAGGATTGGGGGGAGGGAGGAGGGGCAGACAGGACCCAGGGAAGAGGGTGGCGCAGCGTGGATCGAGGGCGGCGGTCAACCGCTCGCGGCGGCTTGCGCCCGAACGCTCACGAGCGCTCCCGAGGCGACGGACGGCGCCGCCTCCGTGCAGCTGACCCCCGAGCTCTCGGCGGAGTCCCCGGCCGCCAGGGCGGGGCCCCACCTTGCCGCGCTCCCCGTCCGACAGGGGGAGGGTGGGGAGGGGCGGGCTGATGGAGGGGGCGGGCGAGTGGGGGGAAAGCGGGGGAGTGCGGTGGAGGAGGGGGGGGGGGGAGGGAGGAGGGAGGAAGGGGGGAACGAGAGGGGGGCCGAGGGGGGGGGGGGCAACTTAGGCGCGCTGGTGCCATATCCGGCATCCTAGCCCTCTCACCCATCCCTTCCCATTGCGGACGCGGTCCCATCCCTGCCCTTTGCCTGGATTTTTGTGTATCTACGGACGCGTGTCACAGGCGACCTGGAACTCCACAAACAAACCCATCGTGTTTTGCGCGATTCGCAAAGGGAAGTTGCGTACATAGGATGATGATGTTGATGATGCTGATATGGATGAGGATGAGGATTAGGATGATGACGATGCTGCTGCTGATGATGATGCTGCTGATGATGATGCTAATGATGATGATGCTGCGGATGATGCCGATGCTGATTATCATGATGATGATGGTGGTGATGATGATGCTGATGATGCTGATGCTGATGGTGATGATGCTGATGCTGATGCTGCTGATGATTCTGATACTGACGATGCTGATGTTGATGCTGATGCTGATGCTGCTGAGGATGATGATGATGCTGATGATGATGAGGATGCTGAGCATGCTGATGATGATGAGGATGAGGATGATGCGGATGATGATGCTGCTGACGATGTTGATGCTGATGATGATGATTAACATGATGATGATGATGATGCTGCGGATGTTGATGACAATGATGATGATGATTATGATGATGATGCTGATGATGATGATGATGATGATGGTGATGGTGGTGATGATGATGCTGATCCTGTGGTTGATGCTGATGCTGCGATGATGCATATGAAGGTCATGATGATGCTGATGATGATGGTGATTATGCTGATGCTGATGATGATGTGGATGCTGCTGCTCATGCTGATGATGATGGGGATGATGATGCGGATGATGACGATGATGGTGATGCTGATCACGATTTTGATGCTGATGCTGATGGTGATGATGATGATGATGATGATGCTGCTGCTGCTGCCGATGATTATGCTGAAGATGATGATGATGCTGCTGCTGATGATGATGATGATGCTGATGATGCCGATGCTGACGCTGATGATGCTGATGCTGGTGCTGCTGATGATTCTGATACTGACGATGCTCATGTTGATGCTGATGCTGATGATGATGATGCTGCTGATGATGATGATGATGAGGATGCTGAGCATGCTGATGATGAGGATGAGGATGATGCGGATGATGATGATGATGATGATGATGATGATGCTGCTGCTGCCGATGATTATGCTGATGATGATGATGATTAACATGTTGATGCTGCTGATGCTGATGATGCTGATGCTGCGGATGTTGCTGATGATGATGATGATGCTGGTGGTGGTGATTTTGATGATGATGATGATGATCCTGTGGTTGATGCTGATGCTGCTGATGATGCATATTAAGGTCATGATGATGCTGATGATGATGGTGATTATGCTGATGCTGATGATGATGTGGATGCTGCTGCTGAATGATGATGGGGATGATGATGATGATGATGATGATGATGATGATGGTGATGCTGATCACGATTTTGATGCTGATGCTGATGGTGATGATGACGATGCTGCTGTCGATGACTATGCTGAAGATGATGATGCTGATGCTGCTGATGCTGATGATGATGCTGATGATGATGCTGATGATGATGCTGATGATGCTGTTGATAAGGATGAGGATGGGAACGATAATGAGGATGAGGATGCTGATGATGATGCCGATGTTGCTGCTCATTCTGATGCTGCTGCTGCTGATGATGATGGTGATGATGATGATTATGATGATGATGATGCTGATGCTGATGACGGTGCTGATGATGATGATGAAGATGATGATGATGATGATGATGATGATGATGATGATGATGATGATGATGATGATGATGATGATGACGATGACGATGCTGATGCTGCTGATGATGATGATGATGATGACGACGATGATGATGATGATGATGATGATGCTGATGATGATGATGATGATGATGATGATGATGATGATGATGATGCTGGTGAGGACGATTATGCTGTTGATGATGATGAGGATGGGGACGAGAATGAGGATGAGGATGATGACGATGCTGCTGATATTGAGGAGGAGGAGGAGGCGGAGGAGGTGGAGGAGGAGCAGGAGGATGAGGAGGAGGAGGAGGAGAAGGAGGAGGAGGAGGAGGAGGAGGAGGAGGAGAAGGAGGAGGGGGGCGGGGAAGGCGGAGGTGGAGGGGGAGAAGGATGAGGTGGACGAGGAGGAGGCGGAGGAGGAGGAGGAGGAGGAGGAGGTGGAGGATGAGGAGTAGGAGGGTTAAGGAGGAGGGGAACGGACGATGAGAAGGATGATGATGCTGATGCTGATGATGATGATGATGATGATGATGATGATGATGATGATGATGATGATGATGCTGTCGATGATGACGATGCTGCTGATGCTGATGATGATGATGGTACTACTGCTGCGGATGATGATGAGGATGAGGATGAGTATGATGATGCTGTTCTGATGATGATGCAGATGCTGATGATGATGAGCAAAATGGTGCTGATGCTGACGATGCTGATGATGATGATCATGATGAGGATGCTGATGCTGATGCTGATGCTGATGCTGATGGTGGTGACGATGCTGATGCTGATGCTGATGATGATCTGATGGTGATGAGGATGATAATGATGATGATGATGCTGATGATGATGATGATGATGATGATGATGATGCCGACGATGATAATGCTGATTCTGATAACGGTGCTGCTGCTGATGATTATAATGACGATGATGATGATACTGATGATGATGATTATGATGATGATGATGATGATGATGATGATGATGATGATGATGATACTGATGCTGATGCTGGTGCTGATGATGGTGATGGCGATGGTGATGATGATGGTGGTGGTGGTGATGATAATGCTGCTGAAGATGATGACGACGCTGATAATAATTCTTAGTATGATGCTGATGCTGCTAATGATGATGATGACGATGATGATGATGCTGATGATGCTGCTGCTGATGATGATGCTGATGATTATGATTATGATGTTGCTGCTGCTGATCACGACGATGATGATGATGATGATGATGATGATGATGATGATGATGATGATGATGATGATGATGATGATGATGATGATGATGCTGATGATGATGATGATGATGATGATGATGATGATGATGATGATGATGATGATGATGATGATGATGATGATGATGATGATGATGATGATGATGATGATGATGATGATGATGATGATGATGAGGAGAGGAGGAGGAGGAGGAGGAGGGAGGAGGAGGAGGAGGAGGAGGATGAGGAGGGATGAGGAGGAGGAGGAGGAGGAGGATGAGGAGGAGAGGAGGAGGAGGAGGAGGAGGAGGAGGAGGAGGAGGGGGAGCAAGAGGAGGAGGAGGAGGAGGAGGAGGAGGAGGAGGAGGAGGAGGAGGAGGAGGAGGAGGAGCAGGAGCAGGAGCAGGAGCAGGAGGAGCAGGAGGAGCAGGAGCAGGAAGAGGAGGAGGAGGAGGAGGAGGTGGAGGAGGAGGAGGAGGAGGAGGAGGAGGAGGAGTAAAGGCGTTGGAGGAGTGGGATGAGGGGGAGGAGGAGGTGTCAGGTGAGCAGGAGGATGAGCCGGAGGATGAGCA